ATTAACTTTTTTGGATTTCTACATTATTGACGTGTAATTCGACGACGCCAATCATGTTATCTCTACTTTGTTTGAGGTTTAATTAAAACATCGATCAATTAAGTAAAACTTCATTTAAGATAAGCATGATAAACGTTGTGCAACTTTTTTGACCATTCTTTTTTTATATTTTGTGCCACCTCTTGCTTTCTATTAGCCCCGTATTTTTTTTAAAACAGTTGTTGTTTTCAACTACTACAGTAGTATTATTCACTTTTAGTGGTTATGGCAGCAACATTTAATGCAAATGTAACTACTCATTTCGAAGACTTGTTTACCAGTACATTGACATTAAAAAGACGTTTTGTTATTGATTATAGCCATGTTTGCTCATTTATAAATATTCAAAATGTTAGCGATTGGAGAAAGGGAGCCACAAGTGACATTAATCGTGGTAACTAAGCGCATAATGCGCATTTTAAATTATTCATGATACGAGTAACCAAAACGATGCTTAGTTAATTTTTTTAAATCCATTGCATTTGAGCCGTAAAATATTCTTGTACACTCCCTAGGAGCATGTCCACAGTAGTCAGATTTTTGTTTGTGTAATAAAAAATGGCATATGGGTAAATAATTGAATTCTCGAGTTTCCACATTCATTGTTCCTCGTTAAAATCCACTCTTTTGAGTCCTGGCCCTCATCGTATTAAAAACGTTTCTCCACATATAATTTTTGGCGGTTATCTGAGCAGCGAAGATAGCATATATTTTAAACATGGCTCAAAGTTGCGGTCTAGTGTTAGTCAACAAAAAATGATTTAACTATTAGCGTTAAAAGTGTATGGTAAGATGCTAACGTCTTTTGTTTTACCTTAAACCCTAGACATTCTGGGAGAACTAGTATCTGAATGCCTAATCAAAACGACTTGAAATCATGTGGCATCCATGTCATTGCCTACCTCAATACTCAACACATACGTGTTTTGAACATTAATTTGTTTTGCTTGAAACCGATATAAGACGTAGCCTGCCGCAATTATTCCCAGCCTCGTGCTGGTTGTGACGCAATTCACATACGGACCACGAGAACATGCTGACGATTTCGAGTGAATATGATGCTTGTACAAACAGTTGACAAAATAGCTTCTTGAAGGTAGTATTTGCAGTAAAAACATCGGTTCAGTTCGAAGATTCGGGACATGTGGATAACCCACGACGAATAAGATTCACAGCGTGAACGGTGGTGTATGTGACTTTGAAGTCGTAATGCGGTTAAGACATCGATTTCGTTAAATGAATGAAAACTCGATGGCTTATTTTCCCTCTCATTCAGTTATAAGTCATGTCAAATTCGCTGACTACATGTGGACTACATTTATAAGGGGTGTGACTACTGTTGATACAAATAAGCGCCCGTATGGTGATGTATGTCCCTTAAGAGCATTAGACAGGACATCGTGCGAGGCACTACAGAGTACGAGATGAACACGATTAGCTGATTTTTAATTTCGTCATTGTCTGTTCATCTTTGAGCCCAAAATCATTTCTGTTAAATACATATGCTGAAGAAACTTTACATATTTTGTCACACAACACATGGTCCAACATTTGAGAGCAAAAAACAACCTACCTCCAGCGGCAGGCAGTCTATTGTGCAAGTTTTATCTCATCATTTTGAACAGACATTAATCGTGACCGCCGAAAAGAATTGACAATCCGAAAGTTGTGCGTTTCAACAGCAGTCATTTAAATTGAAATGATTGCATCATTTCCACAGGCAGGGCCATTAGCGTTAAGAAGGACTGTGTGTCCAGATGCCATACCGCTAACTCATACATCCACACCAAGAGACCATCTATGTTTCAGTCTCAAGTCTACACGCTTAAAAAACAGCAGATAACTCTAATACTGCGTCATCCACGGTCGTGGAAGACAGCATCACAAGCTACAGCAACCACTCCATACTGAGATTGGTGGAAAAACAGCTACCAACCACGAAAAACCACAAAGTCCAGCAATGCCACGAGGCAACACCGAAGGTGGCAATTGCAGTCGCTACACCATCCATAAATTACTGTTCAAATGGGACTTAGATGCAGGTTGTTTTTGAAACTAACTTTGGTTTCTTTCTCCGCTTGTGGATCTCGAATCGACCTCAGTATGGCTGAGTTGACAAGGAATAACGTGTATTGCGGTCTGCTGCATTTAAGACATCAGGACATGCATTGTCAGCCTAATAATATAGACTGATAAAGTTGGCACTGGTCACTGACCTGCATTCAATTGGACAAATTTCGGTTGGCTTAATTTGAGTTCTCGAATGCGCAACAAACTTGGCACTTTGTGCATAACAAGTCTTGCCTCATGCCACTGATATGTGCAACGAGGTTCGAATTGTTTTGAACATAAATTTGTTTAGCTAGGAAATGTTTTAGGAAGTAAGGTTTACGGAAAATTCCTACTTATTACTAACTTCCCGCAAATTGTAGCACAATTTCCCCTCTAACTGTGAGAAAATGCTGGCTATTTTGGATGAATGCGATGCTTGTACGAACAGTTGGCAAAATAGCCTCCTATAAGTAGTATTTGCAATGCAAACATCGGTTCAGTTCGAAGATTCAGGACATGTGGATAACTCATGACGAATAAGATTCACAGCGTAAACGGTGGTGTATGTGACATTTTTGTCGTAATGCGATTAAGAGATCGATTTAGGTAAGTGTGTGCAAACTAGTTGCCTTATTTTGCCTCGCATTCAGTTATTAATCATGCCAAATTCACAGACTACTAGTGGACTACGTTTCCAAGAGGTGGAACTACGGTTGATACGAATAACCGCCTGTGTAGTGATGTATGTGCCTTAAGAGCATTAGAGAGGACATCGTGAGAGGCATTACCGAGTACGAGACGAACACGATTAGCTGATTTTTGAATTTGGTATTGTCTGTGCGTTCTACCTTTGAAAACAACTCATCAGTTGAGCCTGGAATAATACAAAAAGGCTTGACGTCCTGTTTCATCCATCGTGCTGTGTGAATTGGATCACATGACTTCAAGTAGACATGGTTTGCAACATAAATTTTATTATCATTGCCTCTGTTTGTGAGTCGGGCAGATCTGCTTTCAAAACTTATTTGGTTCCGCAGTGAAATTCTACAGAACATGATGTTATAAAAGGCAGATGTGTGGTCACCACCGCTACCGCCCTACCGCTTCTGGCGTAAAACAGTTTCTGGAACTTGCAGCAGTGGTAGAGGTTTCTAAAAGAGTTTATGCTATTCCATGAGATTTGAAACATGCGGTGTAACTGATCTAGTGACGTGTGTGGAAGAGCTACCGGTCAATTGTTACTAATGTACATGTAAACTGATCAAGTCTGCAAAATTGGGCAACCAGACTTCATTCCATTGCAGAAGTGAACGTGGTGTGTGAATCCCCAATATTTCATGCCAACAAGTAACTGGTTTCGCTGAACACATTCAGAACTCGATGAAGCTTGAGTTTAACGTGGTGTGGTTATTTGATAATGGTATTTGTAAGCAGGCAAGTCATTCATGATGTTCACTCTACGGATTCGAATTAAGCACGATATTCTCAATCGTGTCCACTAGCAGTTATGCCCAGTCTCCTGGTGTCAAGAACCACATTTTAAAGGCCTTTTTTAACAAAGCAAGTCTATCCTTTCTATTCATTCTTACCAAACACCAATTAACTATAATCACTTATACATTGAGAGGCATTGTCTTGTCTCAGTTTTTATGACTTCTAGGCTGTGAGGTCAGAGCTCGTAAAGCTATCCAAAATGTGATGACATGAAACTGAAAGTTCAACGTGCAGTCTAGTGCGGGGACCTAAACCCAAGGCATCGGCTAAGCAATTCGTTGTAGGTTAATCGCTGGAGGTGCAGTGATGTCAAGTTGGTTATTCCGCTGCCCCATTGAGGAGATGTGATCCATCCCAACTCATGACAAATCCACACTCGCAACAGGAAGTAAACGTCCGTCGTAATGTTGCCTCGGATTGCAGAGAAGTGCCCGATATGTTCAAGTCAAATGAACGGGCTTGAAATTGTTACCGGCAATGTGCAATTACAACGGTATTAGCTTCACCTTTGGTACGAACAATGGATGTGATGCGAAAACCACATTAGACATAGTGAAATTGTATGTATGGTCAACTCACCGGTGGTGTTTTATTTACCAGTGAATGGCAAAGACAGCACAAACACACCCATTCAATTATATATAAAAAATTGGCTACATTTCTTCGTGAGCACCCAAGAGAGCGAATAACCATTACTCATATTATGTGGTTTTGTGGTCAATTAGGGAAGACACAAGAATGCAGACTCGAGTTGGCTGCACTCATTGTATTCCTCAGTCACGTGTTTCTTCTCCGACGTATGAACTCGAAATTGCCACCAGCGTGAATCCATGACATTATGCATTTCCTCTGACTGCAATGAAATCGCACCCATAACTAAGATAGAGTTCGACATTCCCAATGTAGGTCAGACCCTTTGACCTCTGACCAATGTGTTCCTAACGGCAGCTGTTACAGTCTAACAGCAAACCGTCAAAGGAGCAGCTCAGCCACGAGCTTAATTATCACCAAATTTGACGAAGCTTAAAGGTGTTGTACCCCATTAAGTTACAACTTCTCACCATTTATTTTGCCGTTGAAATTTATGTGCCCCTACATTGTTAAATACGTTGACCTCAAAAAATTACATGGCAATTCATGAGCCGCCAATTTCCCCGAAAGCAAAAACGTTGGGGCTTAATTATGTTTTTTCAACTTAAGCCCAAATAATTCTTCGATTCCGACACGTGAATTCACCAATGCTGCTCCAATTAATATATGCTTTACTAAATCGTGTTTACCAATTTGTTTGTGTGCAAATTCACAGTATTTTTATTGCAATCTGGTACTTCCGCGTGTAATTCTGATTGATGCCGGCAGTCACATGTTGTTGTGTTGGCTATTAATCAGAAGACAATTGGCTGAAGCAGTAAAAGATGGAATATAAATATTACTATCCCAAAGGCACCAACAGACAACAAGTTCCCGCTACTGAAATGCTTCTCTTTCTACTCATCTCAGTTGTTCTTGTTAAGACAGCCGAAGTAAGAAGCGGTGATGCCTTGTTAACTCTTCGAAGTGGTGTTTCCTTAAAGGGCACCAAATGGACCGTCGATGGTGTGGAGGTGGACGCATATCTAGGCATCCCATTTGCAAAGCCACCTATTGGCGACCTTCGTTTTGCTCCTCCAGTCGAGGCAAGATTGTGGAAGGGTGAACGTGATGCCACACAGCGTCCAAACACCTGCTGGCAGTACCTTTTCAGTGGTTTCGACTTGGCCAATCCTGCTGCGCGCGTGTGGATCAACAATACGGGGATGAGTGAAGATTGTCTCTATCTCAACGTGTGGGTGCCTGCGAATATGCCGCAGGATGGCAAGCCACTACCTGTGATGGTGTGGATTTTCGGAGGAGGCTTCTTCAGTGGAACGTCCACACTCGACGTCTACGATGGCAAGTTTCTTGCAGCTAAGGAGGGCGTCATTGTGGTATCCATGCAGTACCGTTTGGGACCGTTTGGTTTCCTGTACGTGGATTCGGAGGTTGACGGAAACATGGGTCTCTTGGATCAACGCCTTGCTCTCAAGTGGGTTCAAAAGCACATTGCGAAATTCGGAGGTGATCCGACGAAAGTGACTTTGTTCGGGGAGTCAGCTGGTGCGGCGAGTGTCACGTTGCAGTACCTCTCGCCCGAGTCCCGTCCGCTCTTCCAGCGCATGATTCTTCAAAGTGCAAGCGCTCTCAACAGATGGGCTTTGTCCACGAAATCGGTGGCTCACGACGCAGGCCTTGCGGTAAGTTAAATGCGGACATAAAACAATGTAGCAGTGTATTAAATAATAATAACAGTGCATCACGATTCATGGTAGATTCAAAATGTAAATTCCAAAGTAACACACCATCTGCTTGCATGGTGCCTTTGCGTATACAAAGTTGGATTACGACAACAGCGTGTTACGTAAAATAAAAAGAACCTTACTGTTAAGTCAAATCATTTACCTCTAATCCACCACTAGTGATTTTCAATGCAAGATAATTAAAGTGCGTGGCTCCGTCATTATCCAAATTGACATTAACATATCTGGGATCGTAGAAAAGTGTGTTTACGAATATAGGATCTATCAATTTGGAAGAACCAGCAGTTGTTTTGGAGCCAAAATTAAATCATTATTTACCTTGCTTCGTTCCAGTTCATCAAGACAAGCAACTGCTTCAAGAATGGAAAAAATTTAAAGAGGGCTGTGAAATGCCTCAAAAAGCTGCCAGCTGAGACTCTGTTTGACAGACTGTATGAGCTGTCAGTTGCATCAACAGCTAGACGCCAAAAACGCCTCTCTTCGCTGTCTCCTGCACAGTGGCCTGCCACATTCCTCACCTCTGCTGCTCAGTACTTCGAGGTCATCATGCGTCCCGTTCTTGATGGCAAATTCTTGCCGGATTGCCCGACAACCCTGCTCAAGTCCATTCAGGAGGGCCAGGCGCCAGAGGCTCTGGTCGGCAACGTGGACAAGGA